TGCTGCGGGGCCAGCCGGGGCCGGGACGGAGGAGGCCGATGGACAGCGCGGTCGGTATCGGGCGGTGTCACCTCCCCCACCCCCCCAAAACCTGCCGATCTCGGGGCGGGGGCTGTCGGGGCCGCCCCCTCCCATTTAAAGCGGCTCTGGGGTTCCCTTGTTGACACGCGGATCTGGTGTCTCAGCGGTGCCGCACTGGTGTGGACTGGTTTTAACACAATCGCGGTGTTTCTACTTTCGTAGGTGGTTGTGTTGAATCCGGTGTTGCTGGAGGGCTGTGTCAGCACTTCCCGGTTACTCCTGGTGTACCCTGTGCCGTGGGTAGTTTGGAAGGCTTCAGCGTTTCACTGAGAGCATCTTTCCCTTTAGCAGGGTTGTGTCCTAAGTTTGTTCTAGCTGCTTTATCTAATTTCCATGTTTATTTTCCGCAGTATGGGTGGGATCACTCAGCTCACAAAAGGAAAAGACTTCCCCCCGTGAAAAGGTCTCTGGTGTACTACCTGAAAGGTAGAGAGCTCCGGATGCAGAACGAGTCCAGCTATCACCGCCTGTTGCACGGATACGCAGCCCAGCAGCTTCCCAGCCTCCTGAAGGAAAGAGAATTTCACCTCGGAACCCTTAATAAAGTATTTGCCTCCCAGTGGTTGAACCACCGACAAGTGGTCTGTGGAACAAAATGCAACACAGTAAGTGCCACCTCTCTGTTTCTCTTCCCTCTGTGAATTATTCCACCCCCCCCAAATGATGCTTACTGTAATCAAAGTATGTAGACTGCCAAGGAGGATATTAGGAAGTAATTAGGAGTGGAGTCAAAATCGCACACAATTAATTTTGAATGAAGGTAATGCTTAACAGTGACAAGTTCTCAACTGAAAATATGGCACCGAGCAGATGGCTGCGAACTGGAACGTGAGGTGTGGACCTGGATGCAGCATCTGCCTCATCTGCACAGAGCGATTTACATCTGGTTTTGGGATGGTGGGCAACAGTGGGGTTAGATCTTCCTTCTTGTCCTGCACATGGAAAGTTAATGAACAATGATGAGAACTTTGCGTGCTTGGCAGAAGTTGCTGGTAAGACTCTTTTTTTCATTGTGCACAGCTTTACATGGTTTGGTTTTATCTATGATTCCATGCTGGTGATTTTGAAAAGTTGCTACAAAATTAAAAACCATGGCTAAGCTCCAGATATTTGTCAGTTATAAATATTTTAAGCTTAAAAAATTAATTTCAGATCTTCAGAATTATTCTTTGCTTGTTCACTTTGTGATTATTTTTTTTTCACTCTAAATCTGCTTTCAGTGTTCATATAACTTCTCTTGTTTAGGTACCTTTATATGCTTCAGCAAAAACTGAAACAACTTCAGACTTTTAAAGTGATGCTTTGGATTTGAAACACGTCCTGTGGGATTACTGAAGGGAGGAGATCACACTTCTTAATATTCTCTGTAGGAGTTAGTAGCCCAGCTTCACTGGCTGAAGTTGCAGTTTCACCTGTGAAGTTCTGATTGAGTTAGTGCAAAATCCCAAATGTCTTCTTTGCAAGTTGGTTAGTGCCACAGAAATGAGTAGAGTGTTGTAAGGAATGTATAGATCAGGCAGCTCTTAAGCCTCAAAGTGTGTCTGTTGGTGTGATTGTTTCTTTGCCTGAAGATCTCTTTGTGCAGAAGCTGCACTCAGTGGTCAGGTGTTTTTTCTCACTTTAGGTGTTCTGTTATTGTTCATAGTTACACAGTAGGAGGCTTTCATGCAGGAGCCCTTAAGAAGCAAGGCCTAGCTGTATAAACAAAATCTTTTTTCACAGGAATCAGCCTGAAACAGAAGCTTTCTGCCTTCTTTCTCCATGTGTGTTCATTGCCTCGGCAGGTCAGCAGCCAGCACTGTTTGTAGAACAGCTTACAGGAGACAAACTCCTGAACAGGCTCTCAAAAATCTTGCTTACCCTAGCAAGATGACAGTGTGTTTTATAGAGCTGCAACAGTTTTGCTGTGTTCTGTAACTTCTGTAGCTCCAGCCCTGCTGCAGCGAAGATCAATGGGCAAGTGAGTTGTTAACGCAACCTTGCAGAAAATCGCTTGGGACAAAACAATCCGAGCTGAAGAGGG